AAAAGATGCTTCACAAAGGTATACATACACATAACAAGTTAGAGATGAACTATTTGTTCGGATAAACAGTTTTACCATCTATACATATCATTAGGGCTTAGCATAAAGCTTATTAACGCTGAAATTATTGTGTTTACTCTCAAGAGTTATTGTTGACAAATTTTAATATATGTAGATATCATGCTCATTTGTATACAAATGGAACTATCTGTGATTTAACAAATCAGCCACGAGAAACTGAGGTATCACTGTTCTTTTCGGTTAGTTATACATAGTATATATGACAAATAAGAACATGATTTTTTTATAATTATAATAAACTGGTAAGGTGTGTCTGGTCCTTACCCTGCTGCGATGGGGTTTACATTCCGATTTAAAAAATGATAATGTGATCTTATGAACGAAATGAAAATGGATTGTTTGCATTGAGTTTTATATCTAAGGGCCAAAAAGATGCCAACATTGCATAAAATTTGATCAAATATGTGGTGGGGTTTAAACCAAACATTTCTGGTGCCACAAATTGTGGATTTTTTGAAGCATCATTTTTGGTCTATGTGTACTGCCATGAACCAAAAGTGCATTATTTTGCTTCACTGATTTCTCTTAGGAAGCATCATTTTAACCGGAAAAACATCATATGCGTGTATGTATATGTGTGTGCATATTTGTGTGTGTAAATCAATTCTTATAACAGCTTTTCTTCAGGTGAGGTTTGTTTGCTCAGAGCCGAGGGCTATGATAAGTTCCATTACTGAGTTATCCACCTGCAAATATGCTCTCACTGTTCATTGTCCAACACTCTGCAAGCACCCGTATGGATTTTGTCTCTATTTCCTACTCCAGTCCCTTATAACTTTACCAACTTCCTTTTTTGGTTGTCCTACTGATTTTGCCAATTTTCCTTTTACATAAAGAATTTTTGGTTCTACTTAATTTCTTCTCTTGTGCACGAGTTATACTTTATTATTCTACGTGTCAGTCAACTTTGGCAAAGTTATAAAGGACAAAGCGAGTACATGCTACCGCACTTATATGTGCTCATTTTGATATTTACCTTTGATGTTCAAATATCCTGGCAAGAATAATACGGCATACTCCGTATAATAATTACCTTTAACGTTCAATGTATCAAATCACATGTAAGGATACTGATGAGCAACTATTTTTGAAAAAAAAATTGCTGGAAGGATACTTATAAAACACATCAAATGAATATTCTTAGTCCAGTTTATCCAGATACCCAGCTTTAGAAAGGATACTAATAATATTCTTAGTCCCCCATGTATTATTTATTGTGTACGGAGTATTATTTAACCTACATGGTTTCACAAGTACACTAAAGCTGCATTTATGTAGATACCCTGACTTTTTTTTATGTTTTTGTTTTGGATAGCCTCTTTCAGGAAGAAAGACCAGTGAGTCACACCATCAACTGCAATGTGCTTCCTAAAGATTACAAAGAAATGAATTTGCGGCAAGAAAACATTAGAGAAGAAAGGATTAGGATGGTGACAGATCTTGAGTATCCCCCTACATTTGATATAGAAGAGTATGCAACATGAGAAGTTTCTTTGGCTCATGGTTTGCTGTTCCTTCACTACTCTCATAGTCCTATCTTCTTCAAATTCTCTCATTTTTTTCTGTTTTTATTTTTTTATTTTCCTCATGCCATTTCCTTAATCTTATGACTCGTAATTAGATAACATATAAAGTGAGAAGTATAAAATGCAACCATATTTACTAATCTAATCTACCTGTCATTAATGGATGGATTTGAAGATGGAACTCCTATTATGTTCTATATCATTGTAGTTCTCTCGGTCTACTTCACGCATGCACTTCTTGTGTTGTCCATCATAGCCAAGGTAGAGAACATTCATATTCTTTGATGATCGATGCTGTTATCTTAGTATTCATTATGATTATATTGATATAAAGTTAGTAGTAGCCTATAGTTGAAAGTTTTCCAAAAAAACATCTATCAACTTTCAGAGTGTATTCATGAATCGGTCCACGGTTTCTAGAATTGGACGGATAGCCTAACCTCTTTAATCTTTACGGGTTTCCTGTATAGAAGAAATCGCTCATATACACCATTAATACACCCATACACAATTACACCCACACATACATATTGCAGTACTATTCCGTTTTTTTCTTCTTTTTCATCTTTTTTTTGGATGAAAGGTAAATTTAAATAATCTGCCCTGAAATGTTAATTACATAATCATACTCCCATCAAGCATAAGCAATAGACTAAAATTTCTTGCAGCAAGTGCTACACAAATACCAACACCTGCACAAAACTACAACTAGGAGCCCGTTTGGTAGCACCAAAATCGGCTGTTTTGGCTGATTCTGCTGAAATTTATGATATTCTGGCTGGAGTGGCTGTTTTGGCTGATTCTGCTGATTTAAGAAAAAAATATTTTAAAAATATATTTTATTAATAAATTAAAGAAAAAGTTATATGTAAAAATAGCTAAAATGGTCCTCTACAGTAACTTCAGCCAATACAGCCAGAAAAGTAACTCCAACCTTACTTTTTCGGCTTATTACACAATTCAGCGCGCGAAAGTAAAAATTACGTGTTTGGTGAAAAGCTGGCTGATAAGCCTGATAAGCCGAAAACAGAGTTCTCCAAACGGGCTCTAGGTAGTTCAGCAATGAAACAACTAGTATAAATACTCCAGAAATCAAACTCTAAATAACACACCAGCAACCAAGTTAAACATTTGTAACCAAACTTGCTAACTAGCAACCACGATCTGCATATTCACCATAGGGATTAGTAAACTCAAAAATCAATCATGGAAGACGGGTATGGTCTAAATAATACCTATACACAAGTGCTTTAATCTCCCAAAACAAGCTATTATCATAGCCTTGTTTCCTAGCAAAAATCATTTCATTCATTGCCTCTCATATTGAATAAACCGCACAACACAAGACTATACGAACAACCTTGTTTTGGAACCTTGGTCCCCCATATTGATAATTGATTTACACATATTTTAGCAACACTATAGTGTAGTGGTTTTTCCCTCATTTGGAGCCAGCTTCGAGCCTCTCTTCAGGCAGCACAAGTGAAGTGACACTTAAAGAACAAATATTTAGCTAAATTCACGTGTGACTTACAAAAAACGCAAGTTCTATCAATATGCATGTACATCAACTTATCACATGTGGTCAATTTATTCCTTAACCCAAGCCAAAGAATAAATGAGTATTTAGGTGGGTTGTGGTGTTTCCATATCTGTCTAATCCAAGGTTTACTATTATTTCTTGTTCTCAAGATATCATACACTTTATTGGAGCATAAACTCCTAACATGTATAAACCATCTCTTCGATGTTTGATAACTTCGTAGAACAATAATCACAAGTTCCCTCAAAATTCTTTAGTTAAGCAAATGGGACAATACTTGGTGTAACAATGACTTGAAAATGACTAAAAGTACAGATGTTGAACAAAAATGTGTTCATTTTATATTATATTAGAACTGACTTTATTATGTTCAATTTTACATTATAGTGACATTTATAATTCTTTTGAGTCAAATCTTCCAGGATTGAAACTTAAAAAAACATTTTCTACTACCACCATATTTTAAGAAAGGTAGAGTATATGTTATATTACCAAATACAAAATAAAAAATAGGCAAAACAATTAAATAGACCCTTGTAGTATATCAAAAGTGCAATGATGTCTTTGAACTAAAAAACACCTAATTAAGCCCATCAAGTTTAGAAAAACATTCAAAATCATAATTTAGCAGGTGAAGGTTCGATTAGTCGATAATATTGCTGATGTGGCGATTCACGTGTTTATTTTTAAATTTCTTCTTCTTTTTCTTTTTCTTTCTCTCCTGCTACTTTCTTGAGTTTCTTCTTCCGCCAGGCATATTTCTCTTCTCTCCCCATTCTTTCTTCTTCCTTTCTTTTATTCCTTTCTTTTCTAAAGAAATGAAAAGTTGTTATTAATAAAGTGGGTTGTTGATATTGAATTAATAAAATAAAAATAAAGTACAATAATTTAGAATCACACAAACTTTATCAAATTTGATACTCCCTCCGTCCCAATATAAAAGGCACATTTGCGTTTCTAGACATTTTTAGGGTGAACACTGTTTGAATACTGTTTGGCACTGTTTAGACACTGTTTGACTCTGTTTGGACACTGTTTGGCACTGTTTTGCACTGTTTTATTTGCCAAAAAGGGAAATGTGCCTTTTATATTAGGACGGACCGAAAAGGAAAGTTTGTCTTTTATATTGGGACGGAGGGAGTATAATTTAATTTTACTACCATAAACCCAAAAGTGTCTTTATCCATTTAAAAGCCAAAGGTCTTGTTTTAGTCATTTGCTTGTTTTAATACTGGTATTATGGGATGGGCCTATGGGCCCTTTTTTGTTTTGTTATACTGTTAGTGATATGGTCCACCATCACATCATCCACCCTTGCTGTCCACGACTATATGATGCGTAGTATCATGTTACGTTTAGGTCCCAGCTCCTTATTCAATCTTATCCTCTAATCCATTCAGACGAGTATAATAATAATAATAATTCAGCCCAACCGTTTCTACCTGCAAAATTCGTGACAGTTCTATCTACAGAATATACTCCCTAATTGCTACGTAGTAATTCTCAATATTTACTTCTCTTTCCACATTTTAGGAAAAAATCATGATCACATTTTGAACAATAGAATAACTATTTATTTATCATAATAGGGAAATCAAATTTATTTTGAGACGGCAAAGAAAATATAACACTTTCAATTTTTTTCAAAGTTTGGGTAGCTTTTTAAATAGTTTATATTTGATCTTATATAAATTATTTTAAAAAATTCGATCAAACTGATGATTTGGACAATTTTTGCTCAATTGAGTTTTCTTCGTTGTTTACTGATCACATCAATGCTCAATTGAGTTTTCATTCATTGGTTACTGATCATATCAATCCTTCTTTTTCGATGGCAAGTCAAACTGATGATTCGGTTATTAAATTTCTTTTGTTGACTGATAATAAATTAGTTATTTGATTTTTCTTGTATCAAGTGAACGGTGTAAAACTGTGTAATGGAATTGTAGAGAGAAAGAAACAAAGAACAAGAACTACTAATTAATTAATCAAAAAAATATTTTACAATTATCATATTCTTCAGATCATAGGGCTTCGCCCGACGGCCACTAGAGTACACTAAAACCCGTCCCCTCGCGACCACCACATAAGCCACCTGAGATTTTTATTTCCCGTGGGGTCCAACAAGACGTCATAAAAAGCCTGCTGACGCCATCAACGCGGAAATCGATTCCCCTCTAGGCCTAGGCTTTTGACATGCTGGAAAGCCGGCTAGGCCTCGGCCGGAACCCGGCGCGGCGGCGCTGGCTGTGAGACGACGGACGAATAAGCGCTCCCAAAGCTCGCTTCACCAGATCGCCCTCCACGGTGCCTATCCGGACCAACGAGTTGGTCATCGCGGACCGCCGCATATTCAGCCGGTTCGAATTGCACGGCGAAGCCGTGGGAGCGCGTCCGCCGCCGGACAGATCCATATTCTTGTGCAGGCTGCACCTGAAGGAGCCAGGATGCTTCGTCGGCGAGCACGTACAAGTACGCTTCCGGCCTTCGCTCGCGGGCTTCGTGTGGACGCGGTTCATCACCGCAATAGACCTGCTCGGAGAAGCTTGCCGGTCAAAGGAAAACCGTACGGAAGAGGCGGAATTCGAAGTCGCCGGGGTAGAAACGTTCGCTCCAGCCGGCGGCATCTGCCTGTGAAAAATATTTGAACATCTGGGCGCAAAAACAGACGCCGACGAGGCAAAAACGGAAGGAGATTTGGTAGTGGCAGAGTGGACTCTGGCGGCCGGTGAGATCGACCGGAGGATTGATCCGGTTGATCGTCTGGAAGAACCCGCCATTTTTTCTTGCAGCTTTCGAGGTAATGAATAATGATACAAAGAGAGGAGAGTGAGGGAGATGAGGAAGGAGATTTGAAAAGGCGTGTTGGCTGTTAGGTTTGGCAAACCTATGCTCCACTCCAGCTGCCGATTTATAGCACATGAGCATGACATTTTTGCTTCTTGGCCCAAAATTGAAATAAATCATATGATTGCACCCTCAAACTCTGCATATTATATTTCAAGCCCACAATTGAGTAGATACGTAGTACATGAAATTATGTATTGAATTATGACATTTAAAGACAATTTGTAATTCCTATATTTAGTTTAGTGGTTCTATGGGTCAACTTCTTTTTTACTCTTGTGATTCTTCCTCTTTACACACACGGATATATTTAGAGTAATCTTCCAGTCAAGACTTCCTGATCGAAACCACCGTCCGACTGGCGACTGACACCATTCAATGTTGTTCCCAATTGATTTTTTTATAAAAATTTTTGAGCATGTTTTTTATGGAGTCTATGAGATCGCTCTTACACTAGAATCTTCACTCAATAATCCATCTATTCGTTTATTGTAATCATTGTTAATATTCACACAAGCTTATATTCATTATTGCCCTAAATTTAAATGGTGTTTTCTTGCAATTTATCTTACCTAATTACAAAAATTCCACTTTATCAATATTAACTTATTCATCATTGTCGTTTTGTATAAAAACACTATCAACTTTTATTCAAAAACATTTTTTCTAAAAACATTTTAAACAAATGAAAGCAAAGACAAATACTCCCTAAAGTTCACTAAGAAACAGTCAAACTATAGAAGTTCTCTTTAATTTCGTTTAGCTTCCTGTATTGTCAATGTGACACTATAATGGATCAGATAAACTCAAAATGGGGTCGCTTAATCCAAAGAAACACGAGAGATGGGGTCACTCATTTATTTGGGAAAATAAATTACACCAAATGAGGGAACAATACAAATCAAATAATTTCTAATTGGCAAATCAAATCACTTAAAGACGTAACAATACAGCACTTATGGATTTTTCCTATAAATTTAGTAAAACGAAACTTAAAATAAAAAACAATTCAATCCGGCCTATCCATTCCAGCCGACCAGGTTTTCATATACACTCTCTCTATAGCAAAAAACCAATAATTGTAAATTAAGGGGCAGCCAGGGAACATTTGATTTGTTTGGGGATATAAAGGCAAATAAAAAAGCAATAGAGAATGGTGGGATCGTAGCTCGTCATTAGGTTAGGTTGGGAAACGGAAAACCTCGGGCCGCGTACAACTGGATCGCAGATGTAGCCGTTTGATTGTGGCCTTCTGTTTTTGTGGGGCATCAGTCGACCGCCACGCAATGAATCGCCTTTACTGACTCACTCCGCATACACTCCACGTATATGTGTCTCGCTATTCTTATTACAAAAATAATGTTATACGACATCCCTTCCATTCCAATGAAATACTCTCTCCCTCCTAAAATCGGGGTTTAATGCACCAAACTTCCTCGTGAAATATAAATTCGGCGCATTAGTCCCTTGTGATTTGAAAAATATGTCAATCTCCTCTGTGTTATAATTAATCATGCGCAAAACCCACTCCAAGAACAAATTTTACAATTTTGAAGTCACTTTTTTAATAATATGGTTTAATATGCAAGTAACTTTGTCAAAATTTCTAAATTATACAAGAAAACTAATCATTTTTCATTTTTTTGGAAATTAAATTTGTTCTTGGATGGGATTTGGCACATGATTAGTTATAACACAGGGGGGTTTGACGCATTTTTTAAATCACAGGGGACTAATGCGCCAAATTTATATTTCAAGAGGGGGTTTGGTGCAATAAACCCCCTAAAATCGTTCGCCAATGTTGAATTGTACGTGGATTAGTAAAGTAAAAATTGTGTGATTGAAATTTATGCTGAAAAGAGAAAATTAACTTTAGCCACATATTCCTTACTTTAAATGGTAATTGCAAAGTTTTTTGGGACGGTCAAAAAAGAAAATTTGGCCAACGATTTTGGGACGGAGAGAGTAATAACTTGATATAGTTTGAATGGATAAATATATAATTACTTTTAAATTTATTTAGATTAAAAAGTGACATGTTCATATTTTGGTATATAAAATATTGTTGGAACAATTTTATTGTGATCAATGTATTCTTTTTATTGTATCTTGAATGTATTTAATACTCCATAATACTCCGTATATTTTTTAGACTAGGCTTATTAGGAAACTATTGTAGTGTGTGCGATTGGGCTACTTCATATATAGCTCAATCATGCTTAGGTCACATCAACTCATTGGATATAAATATTACTCTAAGAGGAATGAGTTGATAGCCTCTTTCACATATTACCCGCACATACATAATTCTAGTGAGTGAGAGAGCACAAAAGTTTCTACGATCATTTCATTGTATCGTCATTTTGAGATTCTTCTCTGTTAATGAAATTTCATTGTTTTAATATTTCTGGGTGCTTCCATACATTTCTACGTAAATAGGAACCAAACATATGGTATCAGAATCGTGACGTGCGATTGATCAACCCACAACGGACGAACATAACTTCAGGTGCTACTAACCATTTGTTACGTCCTTTTTCATTTTTATCGCTCAGAAATCAGCTATCTGTGATCGACGATGGATTACGAGTAAACTGATATCAATTTTTCCATCATCGGCGTAGATTCAGTCTTTTGTAGATCATCTTTTTCATTCTCAGGCGCAAAGTTCAGTTTAGCGCGTCGTTTGTACATGAGCAAAGTGTGATACGCTAATTATGCACAGGAGCAAAGTGAGGTGCGTGAAGCTGATCAATGAGCAAAATGTTGATGTGCCCTAACTCCACTTTAGTGCATCAACCGTGCGCTAACCCTCTTTAGTGCATCATCCATGCGCTAACCCTCTTTAGCGCATCATCTTTGCGCTTACCCACTTTAACGCATCATCTGTGCGTTAACTCCGCTTAGCGCATCTTTTGGTGCGCTAACCACTCAGCACATCACTGCAGAAGCGCTAACTCATACTTTGCCAACGTAAGTTTTAATGTGTCAATCAAGTGCACAACTCGATCAACTATGGACACAATTTTGCTAGGAAATGGCAGTAGACCCCTTATCCTACGAAGAGGAGAATACATGATTTGGAGAAACCGCTTTTGATCTCAACTTCCTTGAAAGTAATGATCAGTCCTTAGGCATTCTGCAATATATAACTGATGGACCTGCACAACTATGGATGACTGTAATACATGAGATTAATTTAAAAGGATTAATAGTACTACTCATACCAATAAGGTGCATTTCCTTTTAAGGGAGCTCGTCACCTAAGATTTCCAAGTTAAGCGTGCTTGCACGAGAGTAGTCTTGTGATGGGTGACCCCCCTGTGAAGTTTCTCCGGGCGCGCACGAGTGAGGACAAAGTGCGCGGTAGAGGCCTGTGGTGGTTTGTGAGGATAGTACGTACTAGAGATCTGACATAACTACCTCGGGTTACAGGTGGTATCAGAGCAACCCTGTGACAGTGTGCTAACCCGTTGGATATCGGGCGGGCACTTAGCAGGGGAAGATTCTGGGATATGATTGAGATTGACTTGGCTTATGGGCGCAACGAACACGTTGCGATCTCAAGTGGGGGTGATTGTAACACATGAGATTATTAAAAGGATTAGTAATACTACTCATGCCAACAAGGTGCATCTTCTTTTAAGGGAGCTCATCAACTAAGAACTTAGTCTTGTGATGAATGACCCCCCCGGGAAGTTTCTTAGGGCACGCACGAGTGAGGACAAAGGCCTGTGGTGGTTTGTGAGGACAATACTAAAGGTCTGAAGTAACTACTTTGGTTCATGCGGGTCCGGGGTGTTATATGACAGCCCATGGAAACAACTCTCCTATCCGAGACACATTAAGATTTAAAACCGTTGATGACGATGATGATGAGGACACGTTGAGGCTAAAGGCTGGTCTTCTGGCTAAGGCATACCTACTTCATTCTATACAAAATGAAACATATGTCCAAACAGATACATGAAAATAGCCAAAGAAATGTGGGACGAGTTCTATAAGATGATGCAGGGGACTGAACTCAAAATTTAGGCTAAGAAGGTTAGCGCTCTAACAGTTTACGATGCACCTAAGGCTAGACTAGGTGAACCATTGTTTGAGACCTACAACAAGTTCTTAACCTTGATAAATGAGACGTAAAGAAGTCAAACATAGAGATGGAAATATGTTTTCTTTCATGCTTGAACCCTGAATGGAAGAAGATTGCAAGGCACATTCGCCAGAACAAGGACCACTATAAGAAAAGTGCACATAGACCGCACATAGACCAATATTTTTTTTGCGATGGCCGCATAACTGTCGTTAAAAACACTATTAACCTCACATTTTTTTATTTACCACATACAAAACTGTGGTAAAAGGTCAAAGACGACAGTTTTTAACCGTGGCCAATGTTTTTACCACGGCTGTTGTGGCGACGAACGTAAAACTGACGCAAAACTGTCGTAAATGTTGCTCCTTATGTTTTTACGACAGTTTTGCGACAGTTTTAGGTGCGTCGGCACAACAGCCGTGGTAAAAACATTGGTCACGGTTAAAACTGTAGTCTCTAAGCTTTTACCACATTTTTGTGTGTGGTAAATAAAAAAATGTGTGGTTAATGGTATTTTTAACGACAGTTATGCTGGCATCGCAAAAAAAAAGTGGTTCATGTGGAGTTTTGTGCACTTTTTTTGTAGTGGACCTTGAAGAAGTTGATTTGCACACCATCCATGATAATAACCATGAACAGTTCATAAATGATGTTTATGAGAATCAAGGGAATTAATCCGATGATCCTCTGGCACTTGCCATGGAGTCTCAATCCAAACGTTCATCCAAAGTCTAGAAAGAAAAGTTGGTGATCTCCACTCCAGCTGATGAAGAAAGCGATGATGAGACTAATTTTGATTCTAAACTTGCAAATATGCAAAAATAACTTGCCCTCTTGACTAGCCAAGTGAACAAAAAACTATTCAAGAACAGTTCATCAAACAAGTTGAGGACTTCCTCATTCAACTACAAAGCAAAGGACAACGAACAAGAAAATTCTGAGAAGACAG